ACATTGTTTGGTCTAACTTCTTATTATTGATTTAATTTGCGAGTGATTCTTCATATCTACTCAAATTATAGTACTTGTTAAATCTGTGCGTTCGATAATTCTATTAGCTCTCCTTTTGAATAACGTATTCGGCCTCTTGATTATCATTAAATATTTATGACTATTGTCGTTATCGTTTGTCATGGAATAATCCTTTTCTATCGCTATCTGTTATGCGCCCCTAACCCCGCGCATAACCGTCGTAACCAACCATTTTTTTGTTACGTCCGTATGGCATTTTTCGCATCATATAATTTTATAACAATTAATGAACGAATACCCTTATATTCAATTTTTCGACGCCACTCAGTGACCAAGTTCATTTTTGCTTATTTCATCAATATTTCCCACCTCTGCCGAATCATTGAACCCTAATGTTCATTTTTAACTAATCTATTTCGATGAGCTACTTATAATCATCCTTTTTGATTTCTAATTATTCTATAGCAACGCTAAGGTTCCAAGTTTTTTATATCAATAGGCTTTTGATAATGAATGAATGAATGTTTATCCTTTTTCAACTCCATTTCCGCACTAATAGTAATAATCAAAATATTTATTATGCCGCCATTCCCTATCTTCACCGATCTGACAATCAATGAAGCCTTGTGCTACTCTTTCTAACTCTTATATTTTTAGATAACAATGTCCAAGGGTTATAATTTGTAGCAGCATCTTTCACATCGGTGGAATTTTGATAACCAAATGAACAAGATCTTTATGTCCACCCTTTTTAGTTCCGATTCTATTTTGATAACAGTGACCTTTATTCTTATTTTGTCGATCTTTATAAATGGTACTTCTCTGGATTGGCAAAGTTTTTATAATGAATGAATGTTTGTTCTTTTCAATTCCCAACTTCATTTGATAAAACTACTTACTTTATGGTCTTTTTTATTAAATTGTTTTTCTTCGTTTGTTGATGCGATTGTTTTTCCAATATGTTCGAATACGTTGCATATCCCAATCATTACTACAATCCTGAAGCTCTCTTAAGGTTTCGATAGCTATGTCTTCAGGGAAAGAATCAAAAGAAAGTATACTTTCGAGTATCACTTTTTCACTATTTGTCGTATGTCTACGTTGACGCTTTACACATTGATTATCTTCATTAGATTGCTGTCTCGCATTGTCACTTCTAATCTGATTACTTTGCGATTGTTGAACTTGATTTTTTGGTGGTGATGGAGCTACTAATTTATGTACTACAACATTTTTTTTTCGACGTCCTCTTGTGTCTTGCTTATCAGTTTTGTAAATATCTTGGCGTAAAATTGTCTCAAGCCGAGCTATACCCTTTTCATAACAAGTTAGTATATTATGAAACCCAATATTACTCATTTCTTGTGTTCCTGCAAATAATTTATGCGTTTTGGGATCAGTTGATGAAAAGGCATCAAGCAATTCGTCTGACAGCTCCCATAAACTTTCATTCTGTGGTTGCACAGTTCGATCGTTCTTAGTTGCAATAATAGTTTCACCCAGATATTCTAAAATCGCCATCCTTAATCTTTCTATTTCAGCTTGCATTGAGGCTATCTGCAATTTTAATTCTTCAGGATCCATAGTTTTTCCCCTGACATTCTGTTTTACAGACAAGACTCCAACCCGTTCAAGTGCCTCATCAAATGCGAGAAAGTGCCCTGGGCGTGTAATATTTACAGAACTTACAAGACGTAACAACTCCTGGAGATGTTGATCATTATTAATATAATAAAGGAAGTGCGTTACAGACCTAGTATAATTAACTTTCCCTGCAACAGGAAAAAGAGGAGAAAATGCTGCAAGGTTTTTGATTTGCATTTCATAATTGCCACGGCGAATACCAATTTTGTGCCCAATCCAATATCCGGCCCAACAAAAAAAACGATACCAGGTTCTTAAAACATAATTTTCCCCATTTTCAATATCATTTATAGATTGATTGGTATTATTTAAGTATTTAAAAATAGCGATTCCCACGGCGACCCAAATTAATTCTAGAACTCGACATGTGGCTTGGTAATCCACAACCTTTTCTAATTTATCAAGAAAGCGGACACCGAGCTTTGCTGCCATGTCAGCTATGCCATATCCCGAAAAAATATTTATAAGTGCACTACACATGCAACGGGAAGTATGCCATTGACCCAAGAGAGATCTTATTACTTTGTCTTTGTTTTTTTCCTTATATGAAATCAATCGGTGATAGATTGCCTGGTCACATGCGATATCTAGGCATCCAGTATTTGCTATTCCAACATCATCATAATATAAATCGCACGCCTTATAAACGTTTTCGTTACAATTTGGGTTGTCACCTGGCTTAAGAATTATAATATTAGGTGGTTCCACTTTACATCCGATTGGTACTTCCTCTGAGATCGCTTTTAAAATATCGTCTACTCCCCAATTGTTGTTATTTGTATTCAGAAATTTTTGAAAAATTGTCTCATATAAAAAAAGAAGGTTATCAGTAAAATCAGAAGTACCGAATAAAGACTGATTTAAAAAATCATGATTGTTATTTTGATTGTAATGTTTAACTGGTTCCGGCATAACAAATTGGAATACCATTCTCAAAGTCATATG